TCTACCATAACATTTGATGAGAAGTTGGTCTTATTCCACAGCAGAGCAAGTTAGTTGATTATGTTTAACATTACTGTTCTTACAATGTACCAAAGCCCGATTTAAGATAACATCTTAAGATGTTAAGATAGAGAAAGTTTAAAGAAATGGACTCAATTTTGGCCTGAAGCTTTCCATTAAAAGATTCAAAGGTGTTAACAAGCTCTCTTGAAAGGTTACTAATATACTAGATGTGAAATATTCTTTGAACTTGTGAACGTACTTTCCAATAAGAATAATGGTGTAAATGGCAGACTATCGGGCTAATTCATAAACAATTATTTTATCCACAACAGTGACCAAATGTGGATAATTTTGATTTTAAAAACTAAAATCCAATGCTTTTTGAGATACACTACTTCAAGCTTGTTGAATTGTTAGCCAATATAATAGAACTGCCTGACTCGATACCATTAAATTTCTACTCACCCAACCTATTTACCTTACGATACTACGTGCATAGTGAATGCCATATAAGTATAAGAACATCATCCTCATCATTAATACATTGTGATAGTAAGTGAAAACATAAGTAGAGCTTAGGAAGATGAAATTGGATTTAAATCCCCACTTGGAGCTTAGGAAAATGTATGCTTCTGAAAAGTTACATTACTTTTCTTATTCAGTTCAATTCAGCAGAGACCTCTTAAAGATTTGTGTCAATCATTTTATTTAGCATGTCTAGAAGTAGTTTTCAACTCTAGCTTTGCAACAGAATCACCTTCAGAATTTTAAAAAATACAGACATAAGACACTATCTACAAAATCACATTTCCAGAGAAAGAAATTCATACAAAAGTATAGAGACATGTGAGTAGATAGTACATTCCAGGTGAGTAGGAAACAGGAAGGGAAGATTTGGAGTCACTGATGTTATGCAAATACATCTGTTAGAATGGCCACAATATAAACACCTGGAACAATAGAAACTCTCATTCTTTGCTGGTAAGAATGCAAACAACACAGCCAGTTTAAAAAGACAGTTCAGCAATTCCTTACAAAACTTAATACACTCCTGCAACATAATCTAGCAATTGTGCTCTTTAGTATCTACCCAAATAAATTAAAAACATGACTATACAAAAACTTCTACATGGATGTTTATATCAGGTTTATCCCTAATTGCAAAATTCAGAAGCAACCAAGATGTCCTTTGGTAGGCGAAGGAATAAACTGTAATACATTCAAACAATAAAACATCATTCAAATAACATCATTCAAAAGAAATGAGTCATCAAGCTTTGAAAAAGACATGGAGGAAATTTAAATACATATAATTAAGTGAAATCTGAAAAAGCTACATACTATACAATTCTAAAAATATGACATTCAAGAAAAAGCAAAACTGTAGTAGAGGCAGTAGAAAGTTCAGTGGATGCCAGGAGTTCAGGGGAAGGAGGAATAAATAGGCAGAAACACAGAGGATTTTTAGGGCACTGCAACTCTTCTGCACATTACTGCAATTATGAATACATGTCATTACACGTTAGTCAGAACCCATCGAATACACAATCTCAAGAGTAAATCCTAGCGCACACTATGCACTTTGGGAGATGCTGGTGTGTCAATGTAGATTGAACAATTGTAATATGTACCACATTGGTGTGAGATTGTTGATAGCAGGGAAAGGATGGGGGACCATATGAGAATTCTGTACTTTTTATTCAGTTTTGCTATGAACTTAAAACTATTCAATAAAAAGTTCTTTTCTAAGAACTGGGGCTGGGGCTCAGTGGTAGGGTGCACTGGACTGGTACACAGGAGGCACTGGGTTCAATCCTCAGCAGCACCACATAAAAATGAAATAAAGATATCGTCGTGTCCACCTACAACTAAAAAAATTTTTTAAAGTTCTTTTCTAAAACTAACATTTTAAAAAAGTAATGTTTGTTAAACAGAATCATTGACATACGGAGAGTCTAGTCAGTATTTACTCAATTATCCAATATGCCATACACTTTCAAATCTTAGAGCCTTAACTCATATATTCAGTCAGGCTGATGGGCCCTTCCATCCCTACCACCACTTTCTACACACCAAATTACAACTGTTCTAACACTTCAAAGTCCAACTCAGTATGTCACTGAGTTCATGAAGCTTACCCTGATCCTTCATCTTAACCACAAGCATCTTCTATACTTCTCTGTACCGAGTAACATAATTCTGTTTGATTCATGGTGTTGAAAAAAATTAATTAAAGGTGATCTTTTTAAAATTAGGGGGGATAATATCTAAAATCCAGATGGCTTACTACTCTGTAAAAACAATATCACACTATAACCAGATTGGGGCAAAAAGCAGGAACTACAATGAGATCCCTCTCTTTGTGGCCTCAACCCTGAGGCAAGGTGTTATCATTTATTATTGTTCCTATATTGCTTTTCTTACTCTTCCCACTTTACTCACTTAAAAATGCATGCTTGGCTCCAGTCCCCATTTAAGGATTTACCCTGCTTACCTATCTGCTTATGTATCATACCTCTAACCTAGAAATTTCTTGACAGCAATGATTTATTTCACCTTCTTTTTGTTTCTACACTCCTTCTTATATACTTATCAACTATTTTCTGAATTTAGTAAATTATTAATCAATACAACAGCAAAACTAATTAACACATAATTATTACAAATGTTGCTACTTAAGCTTTAGTAATTGGTAGCACTGCTTCTTTACAATGTTCAAATTCACTTCAAAATTCAAAGATATTCTTTTTACATTCTGTATCACATTGGGACTCTTTTTGAAGGCAAGAAAAAGTAAGAAGCTGAGATACAAAAATAAAGAGATCATGTATTGAAGGCTTATAATGTGCCAGGGTCTGCAGCCTGCTGCCATATTTATAAAACACAAGCCAAAAATCCATCCATCTTTTAACCAGTCCCACAGTACTCTGTATTGGTGACACAACTCCTTAAGCAAGGTAAAAACTTGTTAGTCCAGACATATGATTACTAAAAGCACATACTACATTGAGTTTCTAACCTTGATATTTAAAAGAAACAAGCAAAGCCAAAAAACATTCCTAGGTTCCACCTTCAAATGTTTAATCGGCTAACACACTATGTTGAAAAGTAACAAGGTGTTATGTAACATTTAAATAATTACTTGCCCAGAAAAAATATATAGTACTGAACTCAATAACCTTACTACAATTACACACATGCACACACACACACCCCGTTGGAACCAACTTCCACAAGACAACCTTTTTTTCCCAGAGGAGCTGTAAGTAACCAATGGTCCATTAAGACACTGTAAGTTAACCAGGGTAATAGTCAACATTCCTTACTCGGTGGTATTGGCTGCCACATATCAATACAAGAGAGAACTCCTATAAGGCAGGGACCCATGCCCCACTTAGCTTTGTTTGCCCCAGCAGTACTAAGGTCTGCAAAATGCTCTACACAAACTGGGCAATACACAAGAAGTGTTAAATGCGGGCGAGGAGGGGGCAGATATGTGCTCAGGAAGGCATTTTTAGAATTCCATAATGTAATCTGAAGCTTTTCTCTTTATTGTAACAAAGAGAATAAACATATATCTTAGTGGCAATATATTGTTCAATTTATTGTTCAAATTTCGTAATAAAGATAATAAAACCACCTTATTCACAGGGTCTTGAAAGGATTAAATCGAATGGTATATATAAAGTCTCCTAGTCAGGCATGGTGGCACAATCCTGTAATCCCAGTGACTCAGGAGGATCACAAGTTTAAAGTCAGCTTCTGCAACTTAGTGAGTCCTTAAGCAATTTAGTGAGACCCTGTCTCAATATTAAAAAAAAAAAAACAGAAAAGGGCTGGGGATGTGGCTCAGTGGTTACACATGGCTGGATTCAATCTCCAGTATCAATAAAAAAAATTAAAAATAAAGTTTCTGTAGGTCAATGGCTGGAACACTACACCACATACTACTTAAGAATTAGCTATTGAGATTACTAAAAAAAAAAAAAAAAAAAGTTATTATAATAAAAGAAAGACCCACAAAGCCAGAGCTGAAAAGAAATTAACTCAGGTGAGATAATTTCACTGTTGACAAACCTTTTTAGGGCCAGATTCTACTGTAAGTATTTTAGGCTTTGCAAGACAAGATACAATATCCTCAACCCTTGGAGTAACTATTAGCCAATTTCACATTTTTAAACTGAAAAACTATTCTTAGTTCATGGTCGATACAACAACTCACAGTCCTAGTTTGCCAACCCCCTGGATAAAATGATAATGATGGTTAATACAGTCTGTGCTTTTAAAGACAACACAAAGAAATGTTTGTGAGTTGACTGAAAAACATGTTGCCTCAAACTTCCAAAATCCAGTCAGGCAGGACTTGTGAGGAATGGAGCCAGGACTTAAGGCCTCAAGAGCCAGCAAGAACCTCACAAGGCTCTCCAGGTCCGCCAAGCCCCCGCCCACACTTACTCCCAGCAGCGGCCCGCGACCGATCACCGTCTCCCCGGGCGCCAGGGCCACCCGGGGGCCGTCGCCCAGCGGCCGCAGCTCGAAGCCCCCAGACATGGCGGGCTTAGTTAGGTCCCTTCGCAAGAACACCGGCCCCTGCAGCCGTTTCCGCCTTCCACAGACACGCGCGGGGCATGCCCAGGCCCCTGGAAAACAGAGGGGGAGGGGGAGCAAAGACTCAGCTCGGGAGAGCTCACTCCTTGAGGGGCAGGGGCCCCAGCGCCACTTCCGGAGTCCCGCCCTCCACCCAAACGAGTGACGCAATCGGGGATTCCCCCTTCAGGTCCTACGAATTATTGTTTTAAAAACCCGGCTTCCCTACACCCCCATCCATTCTCACCGCCCACCGGGTTTGGAGGACGCCGGGCCTTGTAGTCCTTGGCGCCTTCCTTTGCCTTCGTTCAAGAGCTGAGACGACATAGAAAAACTACCAATCCCAGGAGGCAATGCGCGCGCCTCTGCGCCTGTGCGAATTTGAGTCGGCAGGGCGGGGCTAGAGTGGGCGGGACGTGAAGGATGATGGGGAAGGATTCGAATCCCGGAGGATTTAAATTGCTGAACGAGAATCCACCGCTGCCCAGTAAGTAGGAGGGTCTTCCCTTCGCGGACCTATAGGCCTGCGCGCTCTGGGGCACGACCCATGCGCAAACCAAGCCTTCCTTCAGTGGCTTGGAATCGAGGTGACAGTTTTGACAGTTGTTCATTTGTCAGTGCCAGGTGTTCTTGGGTTTCGGGCAGCTGCAGCTCACCCAGAGCACACAGGAGGGTGACTAGGATGAGACCCGAGGTCCCGACCGTGGGTTCCCGAAGGATGGAGGCTCTCCGAGAGCTAGTCTGAGCCCGACGTCCTACCAAACTGAAAAGCTTGATTCATGAAAGACAGAAAAGAAGTAGTTTTCTAGGCAACTAGTCAAAACTGAACTTGAAGAAAGATTCATAGAGAGATTTTAGGAACCTGGTCAAGGCACTCCCGACTGTCAATTTCAAAAACCTTCCTCCTCCTCCAGTGGAATTCTGATGGGAGGAAGCGTTTTATTCCCCAGTGAGAACATTTAAATGCAGTGTAACATCCTCCTAATATGAGATTCTTTTCAAAAACATGGTGGTTTGGCTTTGGTTTGTTTGGATGGTAGGAGGGGAGAATGTGCGAAGATTCATTGCTCATGACTCATCGTCTTGTTTTGTCAGTTTTCTTACTTCCCCAAAACCTCAAGACAAAGTCCTTTCCTGAACACAGGGGTTACAATTCTAACCACTACAAGTAATTTGTATCATAAACAACCTAAAGTATGGGAGCCACTGTGGTCTGGGCAAGTCCAGAAACATTACTGTATAGCACACTTGAATAGGGCAATTGCTATTAGCTGAGCTAAAAGAAGCATTCCGTTGTATCTTGAACCCCTTCTACTATACCCTGAAGCCCATTTTAAAATGAAGTTCAAAACGTTCTAAACTGATTTTAAGTAAATACAAGCTGTCTTTATATGTGAAGGTAGCTCAAGAATAGCGATTTCAGAACCTTTAAATCTGTAGTCACATAATCCAGCTGGCTGAATTATAAACATTGTTTATAGTTATTGCTCACTTGCTTGATGCCTTAGATACTATTATACTTAGCTCATAATTAACTATACCAGTAGGATATCTTTAAGAGGCCATCTCTTAAACACTAGTTTGAATTAAATATTTGAGACTTTGTGTCATTATGACCAGGATATCATTCTCTAGTCCATTTCTTTTAGTATTTGTGTCAAATTGAGCCCCTACCCACTAGGTGCAAATAGACAAACAATTCTTATATGAATTACTAAAAAGAATCTTTCTTATGATTAAGTCACAAATTATAGATGAAGAACTTAATGTCAAGACATCAAACCCAAGTATTCTTACTTGGGTTTGATAGAATTGACTCATACTCATTTTTAAAAGTACTTTTAGTAAATACTTGAATGTGTTCTCTCGGTAATTATAAACTCAATAAATATGGTCTGACATGGAGAATCATTTCCCTTTTGGACAGTGTTCTTTGAGAACAAAACAACAAACAAAAAAAACAAAACATTTAGAAACAACCCCATTATTAAAAATATTCCATAACGAAGGTAACCAAAATGTTGAGTGCCTCCCATGTGTAATTCAGATGTGAGGCTATTTTATAAATTATCCCTGTCAATCTTTGGGAACCACATGAAAAGCAGCATTGGCACTATTTTACAGATTCAGAAGCTTAAGTAAAGAAGAGTTAAAATTCTTTAATCATACCCCAAAAGGTATCTCATTCTGAGTAGGATTTGTAGTCTTATCTGAAGAGACTGAATATGTTTAAACTTTGCCTTTTAGGTTACAAATGAAGATAATTTATTAAAACATCACGCTATGCAGAAAAATTCCAAGAGAAACAATAATTTGAGAGTTTCTGACATAGAATTGAATTCTGTGGATGCTGAGAAGGCAATAAACGAGAGTCAAAATAACTTTGTTGAACTGCTGCCTCTAGAAGTCACTTTTAAAATTTTCAGTCAGCTGGACATTCAGAGTTTGTGCAGAGCTTCTGTGACATGTAGGAGCTGGAATTACACAATAAGAAACAGTGACTCTTTATGGAAGCCCCACTGCTTGACTGTAAGAGCTGTGTGCCAAAGAGAAATAGATGACGACCTAGAAAGTGGTTATTCCTGGAGGGTAAGTTTACCCTTTCCTGTTCACAGTGCTTTTGACAGTATTATGGTGGTGGGTTTGGAAATGGTAGGATTACATATACAGAATAATGTACAGAGTGTGAGGACTTTGGGAAATGAGTTAAAGTTGAGTTATTATTATTTTCCTGCTAAATACACTGACTCCACACTATCTCCCATTCACCCTTTCATATTTTCAAATCCTAAATTCAGGAACTTTCCTGTTAGCCATTTCAGTCCCCTTATCCAAAACGTCCAGTAAACTCTGTGGCTCAGTCTCTGTGTACACACATATACATAAACACATGCACACATTCATGTGCATATACATGAATGTATTAACATGTGTATATCAATGTAAGAACCTAATATTCTCAGCCCTGTGAGTCAGCTTCTCTAGTTTGAACAAATTCACTAACCAACCACTTCCTACATTCTTTTTGAACGATGATGGTTTACCCCTTTCAGGTAATACTACTAAGGAATTACCAGAAGAGTAAAGTAAAGCATGAATGGCTAAGTGGCAGATACAGCAACATACGTTCTCCCATTAGCCTCCCAGAAAAAATTATGTGCCCGATGGATGCAGATACGTGGGGAGAAATTCTAGAAGCAGAACTGGAAAGATAAGTGGAAAAAAACTACAGTCAGATCTTGTGACTTTGAAATTTCAAAATGTCTGTACTTACAAAAGTTCTGTTGATATTTTTTATCTACCTTTTTAATATTTAACATTTAAAAGTAAAACTTTATTTTTGTTTTACACTTTAGTAAAAAATATTTTTTTGCTTTTATTGTAATGTGAAAAAAATCATGAACTGTTTTATGTAAGAAATAATATACTGATAGAATGATTTCAAATGTATTGTTTAATGTACTTGTGTTGGTATTTAGTAAGACTTTAAATGTTAAGAGTTTGGTATTTGTGTTTTCTGTTTAATGATAATTCAAAAATTTAGGAAGCAACTTGAAAAAACTAACTTAAACAATAGACATAAATAAACTCATGGGAGGACTACATGAAAATAATAGCAATATATTTAAATGCATAATAAACTCACATTTCAATAACTTTAAATTTTCCATTCCAGTGGAATCAAATTGAATTATCAAATTGTTAAATGTTAAACCCGTGATTTAGTTTAAAATCAGTCTGATTTTAGGGCTAAAGCTCATCAGATTAAGATTTCCATTACTTTCCTACAAACCTGAGATTATTCTCAGTGGCTGAAAATGTGTGGAGAGTTTCCAAAGCACAAATACCATCAGAACTGCTATACAATATAGTCTAGTAAAACTTCTGATGGCCTTAGAGCACCATCTAGTGTATTATTCATTGGTATAAAGACAAAGGACTTTCAGCTCCTTTTTGTTTTCTCCATATTTAAAAGAAAATCAAAATTATCCTAAAGAATCCTTGACACTTGACTTTGTTAAAGTTTACAACTTTCAAAGAACCTTTATTTCAACTTTTATTTCTCTTTTTCGCAAGAGCAGATGATATAATATTCCATCACAGTGTTCATTATGAATCAGGTCACCACCATGTTAAAAAGTATTTACAAAACATTTTAGTTGGTATGGGGTTTTCTTCTTTAAGTGTTCTCTATGGCACAAAAATAAGAATCCAGAAAACTAGAATTTAATCAGTAGGCAACTAAAAGAAAGAAGCCTATACACTCTATACAAATTGCCATTGTTGGATCAAGCAGAAAATGGGTGATAATCTTCTACTTACCTTTTTAGAGTTGGAAAAGGCCTTGAAAATCAGGCAGTTCAGTTTCCAGGGCTGTACAATAATTTCATCCTTCAAACCCTGTCAGTCAGCAAACCCAAGTTCAAATACTTCTTATAGGATCCCCACTATGTGACAGAACCGTCCTATTGTATGCTAGGATAACTCTGATCAATATCAGTTTGTCCTCATTGAACTGAAGACCACCTCTCTGTAACATTTGCGTATTAGTTCAATCATTCTTTGATTGCCACTGCTAACCTGTCTCTTCCTATGTCTTCTCCACAACTTATGCTATTCATAGAGCATAATTCCTGGACCCAGCAGTGTTCTCTTCTGCCCATGCCTTCTTAACAAAAATGTAATTGGAAAGGAAGAGACCCTACTAATTTTATTTAATAAGAGATAATAAGAAAGCACTTTGAAATTATTGGAAAAATTAAAGCTTTAAAGCATTTTATGAATAGCATCTGTGTACAATAGCATATGGACACATATAGTAGTATCATCTTTTGTAATGGATGTGAACTCTTGTCTTTGCCCAACCCTTTCACCATCTATTGCCTTCCTCTATTAATAGAGATCACCCTAATTAGGGAAATTGTCCTTCTCACTTCTTCCCCATGCTGTTATTTACAGTGTCCTGTCTCCCTTACCTCTGTGTGAGTCTAGGGATAGAAACATGACCAAAACCACCCTCTTCCATGAGTCAGAGGAAAAAAATCCATTTCCTCTTTACTGTTGAAATGGTCCCCTGCCACGCAAAAACAGATTATCATAAGAGAATATGGAGACAACAGGAAAGAGAAACAGCTACAGGAGAGGTCTGTTTGCATTTGGGACCCTGGTTTTAGTCATTCCCTGTCTGCTTACCTAAACTAACACAAATTGAGTTTCAGCCTTTGCACTAAAAGCCCTACCTGATGTAATTTCCTTTGTTTATTTGTCTAGGGGGTGATATTTGTGGTTTAGGTAAGTCTATGTTTTTAAGATATCAAACCTTGATTTGTCCATAGTGCTTCTAATTTTATGTCCTGAAAACACTTCTTTGACTCTTACTTCCTCATCAGTCATTCATTGCTCAATCTGCTCTAAACTGACCTACACTCCACATGATTAAAACTGTTGTTATCCAAGTTACAAATGACTTAATTGATGAATCCATTGAATGCATTTTGGTTGTTCAAGTATTTGACACCCATAAACATTCAGTTCTTATAACTTCTAGGTTTGGGGCTAGAACCTCTTGGATTTTTTCTTTGCTTATTCTAACCAGTCTTTTCAGTTTCTTTCAAAGACTTACTTTCTTTCTGCTACTTACTACATGTTGATGATTCTTAAGGAACATCCTAGATAATCCCACCCACTCCTCCAGCATCAACTATGGCCATCGTTGGTGCTGATGATGTTCACACCCAGGACACAGATCAGATCTGCCCGGTAGGCTCCAGACACCTGAATCAGAACTCATTCTCTCACAGAAATAATTGTTCTTCATCCCAGACCTCAGTGAATGATGGGCTTTGTTCAGTAGTTACCATATTTTACTCTTCTCCAACATTCTCCATGTTCAAGCAGAAGTCAAGGTTTAGTGATATTATCATCCTAATACCTAGGCATTTCAATCCTTCTCCATATTTATCTCTGCTTCATTACTTAATTCTGATCCTTATCTGAAGTTAGGATTACTTTAATAACCTCTTAACTGGTGTACCTGCCTCCAGTTCTTTCCTCACCAGTATAATCTTTCTAAGTCCCCAAATTATCATATGACCTAACTTAAACACTTCAATGCATTCTGGTAAAGGTCAAAATTCCCTGGCAAAGTTTGTACAGTTTCTAATGATGTGGTCTGACCTGTAACTAGCCTCTTATCGCACCACTATTCCATCCTATAACTTTTTAGTTCAGTGACATCAAGCTATGCAGTTCTCTGAACATGTAAATTCCCTCAATTTTCTGCCTTTTGCACAGGCTGTTTGATATATCTATAAACTTCTTCCTTTGATCCTCCATGAATTCTTTTCTTGGCAAAATCTTTTGTAGAACTCATCACCTTAGCCTGGAAACAGTCCTACCTACTACTGTTCTGGATTAAGTGACCCTTTTAAGGTTTCTGTACTTCTTTGTTTATACCACACTCAAAGCTGTCATACTATGCTAAATTTTATATTTTCTTTTTCTGTCTTTTTAGACTGTGAATTTCTTAATGGCAGGGACCATTTTTAATTTATTCTTTTGTATTCCACATGGTAGTACTCCATAGATTTGTTAAATTATTTCTATAGTTTATTTATTTTAATTCTATTCAAAATAATAATAAAATTCTTTATTGTAAGTAATTTAAAATCTGCATTGTTATAGTAACAAATTTACTATATTGTTAATGGACAAGATTGCATTGAATTGCAAGTACAATGCTCAAGACATAGGAGATGTTTGATATTATTGCTACCAAAGGAATAAGTGTTCTACTCTTCTATAAAGATGTAAGAGAAAAGTAGAAGTGTTTTGTTATTTTTTTTAATAAACACTTGAAAATAAACTGAGCCTCAAAAGTACCACTTATTATTTTATGTTACTGGGTCACCTCAATCAATTTTATGTATTACTTTGCAAGTTAAATGAATAAACTTTAGTTTGGTTTTTATACTACTATTGCATTAAAACAATTCGTATAATAAGTTATAAGCTATGATCACAGTTTATACCAAAAGGAAAACTTTGGAACTTGTTGATTAGTTGTATGTTATGGACTTAAACCCTGCATTTATCAGAGCAAGCCATTAGCATCTGAGAATGTGAGTGGGTGGAGCAGAATGCAAGGAAGGCGCACTCGTACTCATAGATAAAGTCATGTGTTAAGTTTACCCAGTGTGTAAAAGAAGTAAGATTATTGGAAAGAGTGTTAAGGAATTTCGAGTGTTTTTTATTTTTACAGTTAAAGATTTAGTATTTTATTTTTTAATATTATTTTAATCATACATGCACACAATATCTTTATTTTGTTGTTTTTATGTGGTGCTGATTGAACCCAGTGCCTCACATGTGTGAGGCAAGTGCTCTGCCACTGAGCCACAACCCCAGCCCAGTATTTTATTTTTTTAATTCTAATTTGTTATGACAGCAGAATGCATTACAATTCATATTACACATATGGAGCACAGTTTTTCATATCTCTGTACACAAAGTATATTCACACCATTTGTGTCTTCATACATGTACTTAGGGTAATGATGTCCATATCATTCCAACGTATTTTCTACCCCCATGCACACTCCCTTTTCCTCCCACCCCTTTGCCCTATCTAGAGTTCGTCTAATCCTCCCATGCTCCCTCTCCCAACCTCACTATGAATCAGCCTCCTTATATCAGAGAAACCATTTGGCATTTGGTTTTTTGGGATTGGCTAACTTCACTCAGCAATATATTCTCTAACTTCATCCATTTACCTGCAAATGCCATGATTTTATTCTCTTTTATTGCTGAATAATATTCCATTGTGTATACCACATTTTCTTTATCCATTGAAGGGTATCTAGGCTGGTTCCACAGTTTAGCCATTGTGAATTGTTCAGCTGTAAACATCGATGTGGCTATGTCCCTGTAGTATGCTGTTTTTAAGTCCTTTGGGTATAAGCCAAGGAGTGGGATAGCTGGATCAAATGATGGTTCTGTTCCCAGTTTTCCAAGGAATCTCCATACTGCTTTCCATATTGGCTGCACCAATTTGCAGTCCACCAGCAATGTATGAGTGTACCTTTTCCCTCACATCCTCACCAACACTTATTGTTGCTTGTATTCTTGGTAATTGCCATTCAGACTGGAGCAAGATGAAATCTTAGTTTTGATTTGTATTTCTCTAATTGCTAGAGATGTTGAACATTTTTTCATGTATTACTTGATTGATTATATATCATCTTCTGAGAAGTGTCTGTTCAGTTCCTTGGTCCATTTATTGATTGGATTA